TTTCTTGAAGCCCGCATTTTCTGTACAAAATGAGAAGCTTAGAGTTGAGAGAGAGTGAGAGAGTGAATGTGAATGTGAATGTGTGTGTAATGAGTTTTTGTTGAAAATATTGTGTGGTTTGCTTGGATCGTAATTTATTTTATTCTATTACCAAATTTTAACTTTTCTTTTGTTTTAACTCAAGTTTTTGAAATATCAAACGCATAGCAATCATATGTAGTCTATTAAAGAATCTACGCTAGAAAGCTAACATCGTGCTATGTGTTACTTGTTTCACTTTGATGATTGGGTTAGAAAGTATTTGATGGTAACTTAGCCTTTGTTTGAGCTAAATTTTTTCCATCAAAATACATTCTCAAACAAGAATTTGACTTCAACAACATTTTTTTTAATAAAATAATATTATATGCAGATATAAAACTTTTTTCTTATTTTTTGACTATACATTCTCTATCATAACACTATTTCAAAATGTATTTTTTTTTGTAAACAATAGGGTTCAAACAACCCCTTAATAACAACGTATCCATGCTTTTACTAGTTTGCTAGCCATGAGGTGTGAATGTTTTCGTGGTCCAACTATGAGATGCAGGGTCAATCAATCATAATTTAAAAAATTGTGACTTGAAAATTTTTCATGTACTGAATATTCTCCTCTCATTTATAGTATTTACTACTCAAGATAGATATGTAAACATGGAAAAGCTCTTTTGCAAGAATTTTTTTACCCATTTTATTGACATTCATCCACTCACAAGCGTGGAACCTGTCCCCCATCGTGAGTCCTCTCATTTATAGCATTTACTACTCAAGATAGATATGTAAACATGGAAAAAGCTCTTTTGCAAAAAAAAATTTACCCATTTGATTGACATTCATCCACTCACAAGCGTGGAACCCGTCCCCCATCGTGAGTATTGGTTAGGGAGGGTGTCAAACCCTCCGTGCTGTAATTGTAGCAAAATTGTGTAAACATTCTAAATACGCTATATTTATGAAAATAAAAAAATCAAAGTTTCTTAAATATGAGATCATGATATTATAAAAAATTCAGAACATTTTAGCAAGTCGTTGTAGTATAGTGGTAAGTATTCCCGCCTGTCACGCGGGTGACCCTGGCAACGGCGATAATTTATATTTTCCCGTAATGTTTAAAAAAGTTATATTAGTATTATGTGGAAACCGATCCAACAGGCCCGTCTAGCTCAGTCGGTAGAGCGCAAGGCTCTTAACCTTGTGGTCGTGGGTTCGAGCCCCACGGTGGGCGTTTGTCAATTTTTTGTTTTTTAATTTTTTGATTTTCATATTGGGCTTTGGCCTGGTGTCATGGGTCTGGGATGAATCTTGCTTCTCCTAAGTGAATTGCTAAAGGTCCAGTTAAGATCAAATATCGATAATAGGTTCAAAATCGTTTTATCCTAAACTAACATAGCTAGCTAGTTCTATACTATAAAAGTTTAAGGGGAAGGTTCAAAATACATCACCTAATTTAAAGTTTTAAATGATATCACCCCTTATTTTTTCTAAAACTTCATTTACTCTACAATATCACCACCTACTATCAATAAATACCTCATATCCCTTACCTTTCATGACCACATCCCATGGCTTCCTTGTCCAATTCC